AAACCCCCCAGAATCCCCCCAAAACCCCCCAAAATCCCCCCGATCCCGGCGGTGTCGCGGCTGTGTCCCCGTGAGCGGCCCTGCCACCCCTCAGGGGTTCGGGGTCCCCTCGGTGTCCCCCCCCTTTTGGGGGGATCCTTTTGGGGGGATCCTTTTGGGGGGATCCGGCTCCTTTTGGGGTCGGGGAAGGGATTTGGGCTCCTCCAGCCCCTTTGGGGTCCCCGTGCAGCTCCTCCCGCACCCCGAAATCCCGGGAGGCGCCGGCGTGGCGCCGTTCCCAACCCGCCGCGATCCCAAAATCTGCCCGGGCGCATCCCACGGGGATCCCGGCGGATCCCAACCAATCCCAGCCGATCCCAGCGGATCCCAGTGGATCCCAGCCGATCCCAGGCTCCCGCTGGAGCCCGGGAGCCAGAAGGGGAAACTGAGGCACGCAAATTCCAGCCCCATTCTTGCACGTGAGATTCCCAACCCCAGCCCCATTCCAGCTTCCAATCCCATTCCCAAACCCAGCCCCATTCCACATCCCAGCCCCATTCCCGATTCCAATCCCATTCCCACAGATGATCCCCCCCATTCCCCAAATTCCAGCTTCCAGTCCTAATTCCTGCTGGTCACAGCTCCTATTCCAGTTCCCACTCCCATCCCAGTTTCTCTCTCCCATCCCAGTTTCTCTCTCTCCCATCCCAGTTTCCCTCTCCCATCCCAGTTTCCCTCTCCCATCCCAGTTCTCCCCATTCCCAGGGGACTGGGATGGGATTGGGCTGGGTTTGGGATTGGGGCTGGATACAGAGACGCCCAAATTTGTATTCCAAATAAAACCTCTCTGCCCCTTCCACAGGAATCTCGGGGGGGATCCTACGGAAATCTGGGAATTCTCAGGGATGAGACGGGACAGGGACTGCCCTGGGACCGGGATCCGTGTCCATGGGGACCCTGGCACCAGGATCCGTGTCCATGGGACAGGGACTGGCACCGGGATCCGTGTCCATGGAACGGGGACAGGGACTGGCACCGGGATCCGTGTCCATGGGACGGGGACAGGGACTGGCACCGGGATCCGTGTCCATGGGACAGGCCCTGGCACCGGGATCCGTGTCCATGGGACAGGGACAGGCCCTGGCACCGGGATCCGTGTCCAT